GAGAGGACCAAAGGGAAAGCTACCAGGCAAAGCAAGGAGAGGCCAGGTGCACAGAGCCAAGACAGCTGTCCCTCCCCCACCTCCAAAAGAGACAGGAGGGGAAGCGAGTGACCTTACTTTAAAGAAAACTCTCGTTCAGCGTATAACAAATACATACACCTATGGTCCTATACAGTGTAAGCAATGCATATATGTACAGTGTCTCCATGGTTCATGAATTTGCTTCACAATTCTGGGGAAGATGGCCATGTTCAAGTTCATCATCCAATGAGTGGTTTGCAAATGGAAACAAAATTTTCACTGTTTGCAAACCAAGCTGTTTGTGAACTGAGGTATTGCTATGTTGTTTTTTTTTCACTCTAGGGTCATTCATTATATTGCTACACTAGCCACACACACACACACACACACACAATCCACACACACACAGATGCAGGGGCTCTCTATATTAGAAGCCGTCTCTATAGTCCTATTACTTATTTTGCAGCCTCAGAATTTTAGACCAGTTTCAACCCAACATGCCATCAGGGATGTTGGTCCTTCTACAGAAAGGACCAATAAGTGAATTATTTTCTTCCTGAAAATAACATCAGATTCCTACACCCTTCACAGATGTCAGGTTAATAGCTCAAATTCACAGGGCCCCTGCTGAGAATGAGCAATTCAGTAAACGGTAATTCATTTCTGCCATCCATCACTCCTACTGCTTAACGCAAGGCAGCAGAACAGCTTCTAGTTCGAGGATCATGGACTTCGACCTTGAAGAGATCATCTTTCTCTCTACCTCCATAGCTCCTATAAGAATAAAAGAATATAGTCAATGGGCTCAACTCCCACCACCACAAAAAAGAGAAAAGGGTTCAGCAAGATACTTCCTCCTTCATTGGAAGCTTTTCCTGTCTCAGCTGACGCCTTCCCTGGGCAGTGCGGACTCCATGGAGCCTTTGGAATGGAAAGCAAGAGTTACAGGAGGCGGAAATTTCTCCAACTGGGCCAGCCTCTTTGTACAGAACCCAAGGCAAGTCAATTAACCTCTCATTGTTTGAGTCCTCACCAGTGGAAGGAGGGTAACGCCACTTAACCTTTCTCACAAGGAGGGTGTCAGAAGGAAACTAATTAACGAGCACTTTGGAAAAACACTGCTGCGAGTAATTGATGCTTAGAGTTTTACAAACGTGAAATACATTATTATTCCCCTTTGTAAGTTCTGATGCCATTCTTGTACAGCTCAAAGATATGCTAGCTCTTCTGTAATTTTGACAGATACTTCACTCTGATTACATATTACATTTTTTCGCAGCAACGATGATATACTCCCTAGTTTAGAACGGAAAAAAAAAAAAAGAAAAAAACCAATCCATTCTCTTGAATGTCTTGAGGAAATGGCTGTGTTTGAGGCTGGTCAGTCAGCATGTCTTGAAATACAGCTGAGTTCCTTTAGAAGGTACACCATTAACAACGCCAGGTTTCCAACACTCAGATTTCTTTTGTTAGACCTTGAGAGAAAGATCTAATAAGAGCCATTAGCCCTTTTGGAAGGGTATCCCACAAGAGACTATGGTCCCCAATCACTTCTGCCTATCACTCTTTTTTTTTTTTTTTTCCTTCTGGACATCAGACTCAATAGACAAATACATTCCTTGAATATATAGTGCACTTGAAAGGAGTGCACAGGCAAGGACAGGTTCTTAAACACAGCCTATTTGTTTGCTAGTGGGAGAAGACAGGGAAGAGGATGAGGGGTGGTTAAATAGGAACCAATGTTTTTGCCAACCTGAATCCAGCAAGAACTTTACACGAGTAAAAGAAGCGAGTCACCAGAAACTCATGCAGCTAAAACGGTAAAGCGGGGGAAAGGGGGCACCATGACGCAGTTCTGACTGCAGCCTCCCTCCTGAAGGGTGGGAGTTTAGAAATCCAGTCTGGAAGCGATGAGCAAGGCTTCACCTCGGAGCCCTGTCAAGGTCAGCTTCCTGGCGAACACTCCAGAAATGGCAAGCACTGAATAAAAGAATTTTCTGATTTGTGATTTGCACGCCAAGATATTTATCTCAAAAAATTTTTCTTTTCTAGATTAAAGAGCCCGAGTTCCCCCACTTAGGGCTGGCTTATGAATCAACACTGCTGGCAGGTTCTGAGCTCCAAAGGGAGTATTTCCTGATCCACACTGGCACCAGAGGAAGGGGTGTCAGGTATGCTCTGAAAAGATCCAGAAGCTCCTAATACCTAGAGACAACATTTGTGGCACAACTACGCAAGTGTGTCTTAAAACGCATCATGTCAATGTCAAACTGGAAATCTGTACATCCAACAACGCTGGTTCAGTTTGATTCAAGACAACACGTCCTGGGTTGTAGGCAGGAATGGAGAAGTCTTTTTGGTGGAAAGGAAGAGGGATCACAACATATTATCTGATGACAAGTGACTGGTTTAAAAAATACTTCCTTTTTAAAAATATGGGCACCCTCAGATTCAGAGAGGAAGACCGGAAGATTACTAAAATGTGAAAGCCTCTCTTAGTCACTACTGGACTTTTTGCAGCTGGTAACTCATTTAACCTCAACAATCCTCCACAGACCAGAAACAGCTCCCAAAATTGGGAAGTTGCACAGCAAGGTTCATAGCCCAGCGGTCCAGATCCAGTGCCCACATTTTAAGGCAGCTTCTGGTAGTTTGGGAAGTTTCATCCTTTTTAGGGCATCTCTTTTTTTTCTATAAGAAACACAAGCTTTCACCAGGGAAAAGGCCAGCTTTGTTTTTAACATAATAAAGTATATTAAAGAAAAACCTATAATTATTTGAGCAACAGCAAAAAGGAAAACAAGAGCAAGAGTTGTGATTATCGCAATCTAGAACTCTTAACTTTCAGAAATGTTATCTAGACACAGTATTAGTGGATATCTGGGCACATTTCATTCCAACTCCTTCTCAAAATAACAAACTAGCAACATGTTTTCTTAAGCAAGGACAGGACAGGATAATGAGTAGGCAGCAAGGCAGTGAGATAGCTTTGTGGCCAGCTTGACCTAGGTTAAAATTCTGTACCCTTTGCCAGCTACTTGACCTTGAGCAAATTACATGACCTTGCTGAATCTCAGATTCTGCATCCATAAAAATCCCGACACCTTCACCTTTCCTAAAGGGCTATTTTAATAACCATATTAAGATTAATGTTTTAACAGCTACTGGCACACTGGAGACAAACGGTAGTGGTAACTACTACATTATGAAACTTTATCTGACTTCTTGATTTAAAAAATTACATACTAGATTGAGGGTCACCAATTCACAGTTATATATACTGAGAATGGCTTTTGGCAAAAACAAGCAGAGTTTCTCTCTGCCCTGCTGTTAAATGGTCCATTAATGAACAGCCACCACGCAAAGAGAAGAACCAAGGGTGGGCTAGATTCCTAGGAGAGCTGGGTAGAGGGTGACAAGCTTTTAGCTACTGATCACTCAACCTGTAGAGAAAGTATGGGTCTGTGGTTGAATCTGGTTCCACAAACCGGACCGAGCACATCCGAAAGAAGCTTCACTCCACCCCCCTAGTAGGAAGGGATAGAAGTCGAAAGAGAAAACCAGGTGGTGGGAGCAGCCACTGAGGAGGCTGGGGTCACCTGACACACAGGTGAGTCCATCCACGGGGTACCACGAGACAGTGTTTGCTCGAGCCTGCCAGCCCACACATACCGAAGCACTCCTCCTCCTCCTCCAGCACCTTCACACAGCCTCTCTCCGAGGCAGATGTAGGCACTGGACAGCGTCCCCAACAGTGCTCCAATCCCCGTCTCTACAAGGACAATACTTTTATGTCCCTTCTTCCTACCCAAAGCCTAACTCAAGGACAGAGCTTACGGCCCTACAATGTCACTAGGAAAACACGCACGTGCCTGCTAGACCAACTCAAGCCAGTTTGAAAGATGGATCCATTCATTTTGAAGACACTGCTGCAGAGTGGAGGTAAATGTGACAAAGTAGCTTCCAGAAAGAAAATAAGGGGACAGGGAGAAAGGTGGGGCAAGGGGAAATGAGGCCAGTAGCAGAGCTGGGATTAGAATTTAACCTGAGTTTAACGGCACATTCTCCCGATGTTCCTCTGCGAGACTACTACATCCTATTTGATGGGTACAATCTAACTTTCTGTGAATGGCTAGAGTAGACAAACCCACACCTCTCTCCCTACCTTCCTGGATTTTACAGAGAAAAACCAATGCCAGAAATACTACCAAGTTTCCCTGCCTCTAAGAGATAAAATCACTGGTGGAGTTCTCGGCCTTCCTGAGGTGGGCAGCATTTTGCCCAGGACCCCACACTGCACTGCCACCTCCCTGCCAGGATGTGCCTAGTGGGGCAGGAAGCCTTCCATCAGAGCTGGGAGAACGTCCATGCACCTTTCGCTGCAGTTTAACAGGTCCTTCCCCATGGAACGCAGGTAACTTCAAAGTAAACTGGAGTGACCTGATTCACACGTGAAGAGCCCTGAGCTGCTAGCAGATCTTCTGGGGAAAACCTGGACTCCAACTGTGTCTTGGGTCTTCCTGTGGCATTTCCCCCTCTGCCCAGCCCCTCCGAGTAGGGACAGCTGGTGAGCACCGTGTGACCGGGGAAGACAAGGAGCCGTGCTGACCGCAGAGGGTCATAAGCACCCGGCAGCCATAAGCAGAGGTGGCCAAGCCGGGAGCAGACCTCCCCGCCCACTCCAGAGGACCCACACAGCCCCCAACTGGGCAGCTGGGGAATCATGCGCAGCCGACGTCTCTGCCAGGTGGCAGGCAGCCAGGCTGGCGGGCTGTCCTGTCAGGGAAAGGAAGCAGCCCAGCGGGCAGTGGGCCAGGAACTGCTCCCGCTCAGCCGCCTCCAGCCTCCAGACTGCAGCTCCTTTCCTGTCTCCCACTCATTTCTCCGGTCTCTGCCTTACCTCCTCAGTGGGACGCCGGGCTGGCCAGCAGCAGTTGGAAGCTTCCTCCCACCATTTCCCACGCCTCCTGCCCATTACTCTCTCCCAGGGGAGAGTTTCCATACCACAGTCCAGGCAGGGACACCCGATCGGGTGGAAGGCTGGAAAAACAATTTTAGCCCACGGCTCAAAAGACTAAACTCATGACCATAACTAGGATCTAACCAGAGATTCCAGGGGGTTAATCATTTGTCAGTCTTCAGCACCAAGTGAAGGGTCAACTAGCCTCTTAGGGGACATGGCCATCAGGCCCTGGCATCGTCCATGGTGAGCTGGATAAGGTCAGAAAGACCCCAAAAGGACAAAGAAAGCCACCTTACTGCATTTTCTGGGAATGGCTCTTTTGAGAAGGAGCAATGACCTTACACAGAATGTGTCCACATCCAAAGGGAGCAGCTGACCTCCTTGCCCTGAGCTGGTTTTCCTGTCCCAGATACAGTACATGCAACCCAAGAGGCCAGCCTCCCCAGAAGCAGACTGCTGCCTGACGTGACCATTCATTCCAGACAGGGAACGCCAAAAGATTACTGCCACTAAATGCTGATCACTCTCCAGACAGAGAGGCTAAAATAATATGGTTTCTGCCTTGTGGTTACTGTTTTTTACCTGGAAAGGGAAGCTGGAGTTGAAAAAAAAGAGGAAGAAGATTGCCTGACCGATGCAAGACACTGGCTTCAATCAGCACAGGACAACAACAAAAAGGGGAGCAGAGAAAATCAGTGTACTACCCCAGGGGTCAGCACTGATCTCAAGACTCCTCTCTGTGAACAAGAACAGCACACTGTCCTTGAGGTCTAGTATTTTCTGTACATTTACTGGGCTAGGGACACGTGGTTTGGCCCGAGGGCCTCTACTTGTCATAAATTCCAAGCCTCCAGCACCATAACCACCCAACTGCTCTTTACAAAATGATAATTGATGTAGTGCAGAAACAGATCCTAAGTGGCCTCAAAGTTAGACTACCAAGCCCTTAGTTGAAAAATCACAAAAGCTAAAGTTCACGCAGGCACTGACTCATTTACACTTTATATTTTACTGATTAGAATATTTTCCTGATCCACAGAAATGCCTTCTGTCATTTCGGGGTGGGGGGTCCTCTCTGCTTCACATTGTACCACCACCAATACCCTGGTTTCCTGTTTCCTTATACAACAAGAGAAATCCTGGGCAGTCCTCAGAAGAATCATCCTCAGAAACCTTCTCAGCAGCTGGTTCAAATGTTCAGTAACTGTATTTAATGGACCTTGAAAGTCTCTTAATTCAGACTCCTTTGAGGGAGACAAAACTGAAAGGGCAAGTACCCAGGTGAGAGAATAAAAAGGTAAGTTTGCTAACAGAGTCAGGGCCTGAATCTCATTTTCCAAAGACCTCTCCAATGACCTTTGCATCTCTTTAATGTAAAAATGCCACTTCAAAACCAGAGGGCCAGAAAATCTGGGCCACACACCCATCCTCCCCGCTACACACATACATACATACACTATATTAGTCAAGGTTTTCCAGAGAAAGAGAGCCAACGGGATATGTATATATTTAGAAGGAGCTATAAGGACTTAGCTTCTGCAATTATGGAGGCTGGGGAGTCCAAAGCTGATCTGTAAGGTCAGCTGACAGGCTAGCAACCGTGCTGTTCCAGTACAAAGGCCAGCAGGCTGGAGACTCGGGAAGGCAGGTGCAGGTCTTAGCAAAAGGCCATCTGCTAGAAAATCGCTCTTTGCCCAGGAGGACCAGTGTTTGGGTCCTAGTCAGGCTTCTACTGATCGGATGAGGCCCACCCACATGGTGAGGGGCAATCTGCTTCACTCTAAACCCATGATCTCAATGTTAACCTCATCCAAAACTCCCTCACAGACACACCCAGAAAACTGTTTGCCCATTTATCTTGTTACCCTGTAACCCGGCCAAGGTGACACAAAATTAACCATCACACACACCCTAACTAAAAGCACAGTCGGCAACAATCCACTCCTACTTCAGAATGTACCTACTAAGCCAATCATCGATTCATAAACAATCAAAGGCTGCTGAAGAGGACGACAGGGAAGAACCAAGACCAATCTTAATTAAAGATCTGTGCGGATACACGGATGTGTACACAGCAGAAAGAGGTGCACTTTTAACAACCTTATTTTACAAACGTTCAGCAGAGAACAAGGTCTTAGAATGCTGAAGGGATTTATCCGTGGGCATGGTTAGCAAACGGCCTTGTTCTGGGAATGACGCTGGAATCCTGGGTTAAGGTTGCCAGATGGGGCCAGGTGACCTCAGGAAGCCTTGGAATCCAGATGATCCCGCGACCCTATTTCAACTGGAATAAAAGAGGCCTCAAAGAATGTTCCTTAGAGCAAATGAAGAGTAAGGAGTGTTGGGGCCAAGGGTTTGAGGTACACATTGAATCACCCTGCTTCCCACTGCGGAATCGACGGGGGGAAAACTTTCCTTCAAATTCCCTGCCCAAAATAACCGGTGTTACTGATGAGGAATGGCGGGCGAGTTCCGGCCGGCGGCGGGAGGGGTGCATTTCAGTATCGGGTAAAGCGACACCACGGGCTTTAATCTGCCAAGATATCTTCCAACGGAGAGACAGGGGAAAAAATATAAAGAAATCACCTGTGGCCTGAATTTCCCTGGCTAATCAGGTTTTAAACTCCACAGCTAGATTGTTGTCAGCATAAAGTAAGGTAAACATCTGCATACAATTAATACTTTAAAAAAATAACATTTATTTTACCCTTATTTCCTTAAAAATAACAGATTATAAGCAAAACCCAGATCACAGAAAACTATATGAGCTTCTGATCCAGTTTCTGCAGTTTAACAACAGCTGGGCATGGTGGTGCACACCTGTAATCCCATCATTCAGGAAGCTGAGGCAGGAGGGCAGCCAAGAGTTCAAGACCAGCCTTAACTACATAGCCCTGTCTCAGAAAAACAAAACTGAAATAGAAAACAAACAACACAACAATGACCAAAATGGCAAGAAGAAAGCAGAAGTGAGAGCTGCAGATCAAAGACCCAAGTGACGTATTAACTGTCCTCAAAGCACAGGCCTTATGTGAATCCCAATACTGGGTATTAAGCAGCTTAAATTTTTAAGGTATTGATGTTGAAATTAAGTCTACAAAATGTTCTTATATTTTTAACATATCAAATGTTTACAGGTGAGATTATAGTTTAGGAATTGTATGAACATAATTCCAAGGCAAAGAGGGAGAGGTACATGTGCAGATGAGACAAGATTGACCTTATATCGACCACTGGGAGAGCTGGGAGGGGACAGGGATGTACATTACCATACTGCACTATTCAATCCACTTTTATATTTGCTAGAAAACTTGCTAATAAAAAGCTTTAAAGTGAAAAACAAACTTTGGTGGGTTTTTTTTTTCTGAAATCAAGAGTCAATTGTATTTCATTTAAATTCTGAGCAGAACATAATAAAATGTCAGTGGATTCCATAAAAGGAATGGCTTGCTTGTATCAAACCAGAAGTGATTAGAATGGTCAATAATGAACAGAGCTCACGGGAATCAGGACAGGGGCAGTGCAATAAAGAGACTAGAGGAAGGAAATAAGCCATGCCTGTAATTACAGCATTTGGGAGGCTGAGGCAGGAGAATCATTCAGTTCAAGGCCGGCCTGGACTACATAGCAAGTTGAAGGCCAGCCTGGATCACATTAGTGAGACCCTGCTTCCAAAACAATGAGAGAGAGACTTAAACATGATGCTCTGGGTCTGTTTCCCCCTTTTTTATGATATAGGAATAGCTGTTGTGTCCAAAATAGAATCCTGTTTCCACTTTCATATGTGTGTGTGTGTGTGTGTGTGTGTATATATACATATATAAACATATACATACACATTTTTTTTTGAACCAGGGATCAAACTCAGGACCTTGCGCTTGCCAGGCAGGCAACAGAATCACTAAGCTAAATCCCCAGCCCTACTTTTATATTTTTAAAGAACACAAAGAAGGATGCTGTGAGCTATTTATTTCCAACTTTCAATCAGTAAGTCTATACTCAAAACAAAGGGGAAACAAATGCAGTTAGCAGTCCAAATTCTCACAGCTCTGTTAAGGAAATGCTTTCACCTCAGGACCTACTAAAGGAATGATGCGAGCATTCAACACATCAAGTGTATCAGGAACTGGTCATTCCCAGAGTGATCTTCTAAGGAGATGGGAAATATGAAGGTGTATAGATGAAAAGAGAAAAACACAATAGCAATTTGTGAAAATGGTATCACCATGAAATGAACCCTACAATGAACAGAATTACTTTACTATCCAAAGCTGAAAATTTTGTTTTGTTGTTGCTGTTTGGGGGGTTTGGGGTGTGTGTGTGGGTGGGTGGGTGTGTGTGTGATGCTAGGGTTCTAATCCAAGAACATTCTACCACACCCCAACCCTTTTTTGTTTTTTGAGATAGGGTCTCACTAAGTCACCTAGGCTGGGCTTAAATTTGACCTCCTAGTGCCCCAGCCTCCCAAAGTGGTGGGATTCCAGGCCTGCACCACCACACCCCCGATACTTGAGAACTTCTGTGTGCAGGTGTGTACTGCTCAGAGAAACCTGGCAGATGCCATGCAAAGGTCCTCACACCACAGTACAAGACAACAGCTAAGACTTGTTCCCACTTTACTTTAGGAACCCAACTGCTCTGTTTATTTTCCATTTCAGGGGTGAGCAGGTCTCACCACGGGACACAGCTTGTCTCTAGCAAATGAAGCTTTGATCTAAAGAGGGAGTTTGTGTCTTGAGCTCTTTCGCAACTGGGGCACTGTACTAACTGGGTCATTCGTCTGTTTGGGGTCCTTGTGTCCCTCCCAGGTCCAGTTCCTAGCATGTCCCAAAGAAAGGAATAGTTGTACCCAAAGGTGTAAACAGAACAGTGGTATTTTTCATGATCATGGATTCTCAGGCTGGGTTCCGAGTCTCCAAAGTCTAAGAACTCCCTGAGCCTCACACAAATGTGTCACGAGACACTCTTCAGATGAAGGCCCACAGATTTTCTTTCGACTCTGAAAGGATCCGTGGAACAAAAGCAAAAACCCTGTTTTAAACCACTAGAACACTGTGATACATTCTTTATCACTAAAATATTTCAAAAACGATCCACACCATTCTTTGGGGGAGGCAAGGCAAAGCAAATTATACTATAATACACCTCAAGATTTTTGTTGGGCTGATGGTGAAGAGAAAATAAGGGCAATAAACCCCAAAACAGGCAAGAACACAGACAACAATTTCAGGAAACTTCAAAGAGGGGATCGAAATCGAGGGACTTGGCAAATGCAACTGCCTGATCCAGTTGATTGGCTCACCCAGGACCCTGTTTTGCAGGAGAGGAAAGCAAAGGTGATCCAG